TTCCCAGGCACAGGACAATCATTTTGCCTAAAGATTCATTTAAAATCCATGTTTCTTTTAACTAAGTGCCTAGCATAATACAGACATGGCTAAACAAAACGGGACATGGGGAAAACATCTGCACTCATTTGCTACATGGAGCTCTACCTGGGCTACCTGAACTTGCTTCTTGCATGGGTTTCACACTTCAGACTGAAATCCTTGAAAGCAGGAGCAATGCAACTATTGGTACCAGAGCCAGGGGATTTAATAGATACACCGTCAGGCTTTAAAGATAGAGCCATGCCCACAGCCTGCAAAGAACCCTACAGACCCCCTGCACTATAGCAGATATGGGGAGGATGAAACCACTTTGTGAACTGCCCTAGTGGATTCTGCTTATCACCTGCGAAGTGACCACAAGGCAAGTTCCCATCATGCCCCTGCTGCCAGGGTGGAGAATGAGATGGGAAGCAGAGACTGTACTATCAGGGAATTTCCTTGTTAGAGCAGGGCTTGCCTGAGCAGAGGCATGTGCTTACTCCAGTATCCACCCGTGTCCCTCCCACAAACGCAGTGAGGAGCACAGTCCACAACCACCCTGTTCTGCTTACCTGCATGCTGCACAGTCCTTGCTCTAGCACTTCCAAGGCAGGGCAGCATTTCACACCATAGAAGATGTGGCTGCTTACAAGACAAACACAGCTCTTTCCAAGAACTGCCAGAGTCATGTCACTGGGTTACTCCACCAAGCACAAACATTGCTTTATGAAGACTTTGTTTTATGTGGGTCCCTCTGCAAGTTTCCTGGGACACTAAGCTGTGTCACACAGATGAACAAGACCACACTGTTACAGAGGCAGGGAGACTGTTGCTCACTCTGTGATGCTGTGGTAAGTATGGTCTGTTTGAAAGGTGGTGCTTAATCATATCCTTTATCAACAGGATGAACCCATCACTTCCTTGGGAAAGGAGCTGTTGCTTTACCCATGTGGCCAAGAGGACCAAGAGGCAGATTACATCTCTCTCTTTGAATGAGCCTTCTGATCTCGCTGTGCAGCCCCATGCTCGTATTCACAGACTGAACTTCGAACTAGAGCTGTTGATGCTTACCTGAAATAGTTGCCATCAGTGCCTCTGTTTTATATCCTTCACAACAACGCAGTGGGAGTATAAGTATTGTTGTGAGCTGTATCGACCGAGTTAATGGATGCATCAGACCAGCAAGCTGCAAAGCACTTGGATGCATCCTGCACAGTGGAGTGAATGAAATGATGAAGTAATCAGTTGAACAGGGAGATACTGTCATGTATTTTCAGTGGGTGTTTGCAGATTTCCTCAGGGACTTCTGTATTCAAGCTGCCTTTTGTTCTTGAATGCCAGGTTGTGTGCCATCTGGGAAATAGATTGGTGTCTACAGTTGAATGAGATCATACCTTCCTGAAGGCACAAAACAACTTGGAGGGGGTGGATCGTCTTGATAAAGTAATTTGCATAATGTGAAGGTAAATCCTGCAAAATGCTGTGCCCTTGGAATCAAGGATGTTCAAGCCAAACATCCAAGCAAACCCTCTGTGCCTTTCAGTGAAAGGTGTTCTTTGTGAAGAGGGATTTTCATGAAAAGTACATTTTTAAAACTCCTTTCGCCTCTGAATGTAGATCCTCACCCTTTTAACTTGTATTTAAGTCCCACAGTAGCCTTTCTGCATAGAGAGAGATTAGTCTTTTGAAAAGGAAAGGAGAAGCTATATAGGAATTTGTGTGAAAGACTTCCACATGCACAGAACCTAAAAGATGTAAGAAGCAGTGCCTATATCAGTATTAGTACAGTTTACAGAAGAGCCTTTGCCAGCAAAGAATGCTATTTTGCAAAATGGAGCTATTTATTGCAAGTTGTATCCAGATTACTGAGATGCGTCGGGTGTAAACTTTAATATAGAACTTATTCTTTCAACATAACATTCTGTCTTTTTATCTGTTATGCTGCTCTTTAAATATATACCTCAGAATACTGTGGGAGAGGCTGAAAAAATCACATACCAAATGAATCCTCACCCAGGTTCCCTCATCTTGGTGTTGCATGTGACAGACTGCACAGCTGAGGGTTGTGGTACAAATCTGCAAACAGTTTTTACAGATACAAGCCTCAAATCATGAACAAGATTGTTTGGTTTCAGTTGCTTTACCTGTTCCCTTCTTTCTATTGGTTCAGGGCTATTCTGTTGGGTCAGGGCTTAACCTGAGGAAGCAGTCAGAAACTTCAGTCTTACGTTGATCTGCGTCTTGCAGAATACAGACTCAAACTGTAACAATCATCTGCTTCTTAAAATGTACAACTCCACTGATAGGTGGTTTCCACACAGCTGAGGAGGAATAACAGCATTCCAGTTACAGCAGGTTTAAGTCTGGAGATAAAGCCTTAAAGTGAAATTCTGAAAGTGACGACACTCTGGCAACGGAAATGACATAAGGAGCTTCTTAAGGCACTGTATCACATATATCAAAGAGATACTTGCAAAATAATCTGCAACAATCAGGAGAGGCTGTGCCAGAATATTTGTAGGGGAAAAAAAATCTCTCTTTCCTTCTCCAGGAACTGTTTCTTTTGAAAAATATGGCTAAAATGAAAAGCCACTCAGAGATCCTAGAGAAAAGTTAGCATCAGTTCTCATGTGAAGAACGTGCCATAGCTGTTGTCCTGCTGGGTACTATTTGAAAACACAACTTGTGAAACTCCCACAGAGGCTGGATGACATGCTTGCTAAGATACCCAAAGTAACAAAGTGTTGAATTTACAGGTGCCAAATGCTTCCAGTTACAGAGTAATATAGATTTGAAGAAGTCTCTGGAGATCATCTGTCTATGCCTGCTCCATAAGTGTGGCCTACCTCAAAGATACATTAAGCTGAGGGCTTAGGGAAACATAAAGGAGGATAAATTAAAAACATCATGGAAATATTAAGATTAGGCTTGACGTAGGTTATGATTATGAAACGTTCCTAACATACATTGCTCAGTTTCAAATTCAGGTTAAGTGGGAGTGTAGGAACAACTATCATCTTGGAGCAGCTGAGTTACCATAGCTCTCATATGTATTCAACAAGCCATACCTGTCTCCTCCTATTGTGTATTTAAAAAGTTACTCCATCAAAACAAAGCCCTTTATAAATAATTTATCATGTAATCTGGGAACAAAAAAGTTCTTTGGAAGACCTACTTGAGTTATTGCTGAAGTTTTTATGGTAAGTTACGTATTTGGGGGGTGGGTTTTTAAGCATACGGAGTTTCCATTCTTTTCGTTGTACTTTTGCATTGGTTTTGCACATTTGGTGATTTGCAAGGGAATTGCAATGCAGATCATATGCATCCAGCAGAAGAAAACCACAGGTAAATGTGTCAAGGGAAAAGGTACTTACAGTAGCATGGTTTCAGCCTGCAGATTTGGCACAGGGTGCTTTCAAAAGAGGTTCCTAAGTGCTCTCCAAGTAAAACAACAAATAGCATGTTATTCATTGTTCAGTTGCATATTTCTTCCACCAGCTTTTTCAAACCAAAAACCAAATTAGAACCTATTTTCAGACTACTCTGAATTAATATAAAGCTATAAACCAAAGAGAGAAACAGCATGTTTTAGCATGCAGGGAAGCAAATAGGATTTCCAAGCCCATGCAGTTTTTGTTGGCTAGTATACATTAAAATGACAAACAGCAGCCAGCATAAAAAGAAAAATGCTTTGTAAGAACAGTAATTCATGCTTTCAACATATTTAGGCAATTGGAAATAATCTATTAAGAAGGAGACTTAATTTTTTGGATGCACCTATAATTATCATAAGAGAATTTTCAGGGTCCAGTAATCCATCACAGAAATTTATTTTGTTAATTACAAAAAGCTTGCTATGCTCTCGGCAAGATTCTACATTTGGTTTAAGGAATACTTTGGTATTAATTAATGGTCATTAATTTTGTTATCTGACATTCAGTGTTTAAAGCCTCCAGCTAAATCAGTACTGCAAGCTGATATATATATCCTTTTCTTCAGCATGGTAAAGCTTCTGTCTCCCAGCACCCAGACCGTGTAGAAAAATCCCTTTATTTATCTGAACCCAGTTCCCATCCGTAGGAAACACAGATCTGCAGAGCATTTTTCAAGTCTTGGAAGGCTGTTACTATTTCCTAGTAAGGCTATAAGTAGAAAACTTGAAGTATGACAAAATAATTCCCAAGCAAAATCAAATGAATTTAAAAATAAATCTTGAGATACTTACAGTATTCTAAAGCAGAAATACACCATCTGATTCATGTGATATAACATGGCTCAGTGCTTTTGGTTTGCTGTCTGCAGAAGAGAACAAGCACTACTTTCCAGTGTTTTTGAAACATCACACTTGACCAGTAGGGCTTTCTCTTAGATTTTTGAAAGCACTTTCTGAGGTGCCTTTTGCCTCTGAATGAATTGGGAATACCCTGTCAGTTCACTGCTGTTGCTCCCCCACCCTAGCTCCTTGAGCGAAGAAGGTTTTTGGTCACTCCAGCTTAACCATGGTTAACAATCAGATGTCATTCCCAGAGCAGGAGCTCTGCCCTTCAAAATATTCAAAAATAGCCCTTTTTAGATATGTCAGGCTAGATGTAGAAAGTATCTCATTATTATTGACCCACCAACGGGTCAATCTTTTAAATAACTGTACACATCTTACAAACATTTCAATGGAAGAGCACATCCATTTGTTATTGTGAATACCACACTGTCATTTATGTAATGTTTATTGCCTCTGTGACCTTGAATCTCATCAGGTGTTCAGGTCTGCCCCATAAGCAAGTGCTGAAGTCAGGCTGATGGAGTGCTTAAAAGACCTATTAGGAAAAGAAAAACCAAATGTGGGAGAGCAAGTGCTTTCCCTCATCTGCTGCTGCCATCCTGCTGGAATCACCATCCTCTTTCAGTCTCATCTCGTCTTCTCTTGTTAGCAGCTCTTTTCCAAAACACCATACAGTCCAATTCAGAGGGGTTTTGCCTCCCTTTCTGGCTTCATGTCTTCTTCTTGCTCCATTTCTGTCTGTGCAGGTGTGTCTCGATCTCTTGCTTGAAAACAAGCATCCCAAGCTGGCCGTGAGAAGCTTCGTTCATGGCCTTGGACTGCATGCACATTTTGTACTGCTCTGGGGTCAGCTCGTCCAGGCACTGCTTTTCATGCCACAGATGGAAAAGACCCCTGACAGGCGTTCGGATCACCATGAGGTTGCTGTGAATGTATTTGCGGTACAGATGTACATCTTCACCACCCCATCCTTTAATGTCCAGATCAAAGCCACCTGATACAAACAAAATCCAAAATAAAACTAGAAGTGTATACTAGCAAACTGTTGCTGTTGGTTTCTCTGGCTCCAGTCAGCCCTTTAAAATAGACGGACTTTCTGCCAACATCAAAGCATCCAAATTTCTTAGCTTCAAATCTTTCACTATCAGACAAAATTGCTTTATTTCGATTGAGCAGAGCTCTGATTCTGGTAACGTCTATGACACCTAGGAATAGTCTGAACATCTAACCAGAGCTCTGCTGAAAATTAGAGGTGTAGGTGCACTAGCCAAGGAAAGGGAAGCTGATCACAGTTTTCTATATCTCAGTAAAAAGACAAATGTATTGGAGTGTACTTTTCTTACCTATGTTGATAAAATCAGATCTGTACTGGCAAGTCATCCCAAACCCAAAGTCTCTCCAAAATCCAGTTTCTTTCTTAATAACCTGCATGGAGGGAAAGGAATGTTTATATGGGAGTAGAAGTGCTTTCAATGTGAGAAGCACACTGAATGTGGGCAGAAATAGGAGTTCTTTGATTCTTCCCCATGTAAATCCATGGCTGATCCTGAACCAGTTTCTGTAGATACTCAGTGCATGTTTCTGCCCAAAAGAATCAGCTGTGTCATTAGCTATCATGGATAAACCCCTGATCCACTCCTGCTGTTGTAGACCAAAAGGATTCATATCACATCTCTCTATGGAGTTTGCTTCTTTGCAGACAAAACATCCTCCAAAATTATTGGTTTCTGTGGGATTAAAATCAAATGCAAGAAACATACTGGCAAACCAGGGAAGCCAAACTCTGCTGTAGACCACAGGAGCTCTGGAAGAAAACAGTGGTTCTGATCTGATCACACAACTGACAGCTCTTTGATTACCTTAATTTTGACAAAAAAAAAATAAGAAAAGGTAAGAGTAGTTTCCTGCTACAGAACTGCTAAATCCTGCTAAAATTGAAGTCCAGAAATGTTAGGTGGTAGATATATATCCCATAAAAGCCTTTGTAATGATGAATGTGCAGTCTACATTACTGAGCTAGACCATGAACACATTATGTATTGCAGGTATAAAATCAGATGAGTAAGAAACCATGGTTATCCTTTTCAAAAGCAAATATCCAAGTATAGATCCATAAGGTCACAATTTAAGTGACCTAACCCAGTCTGGTGATACACCCAAGAGCCTCAGGGGACTGGGACAGGTATTTAAATCCCCTAAGCAAGTCAGCATTACTTGTCACTTAAAGGTCTAGTTACAAACCTGCCCCTTAGCAGCTATTTTTGAAAATTTTGGCTTCACTTGCCACAGAGCTACAGAAGATGAGGAGACAATTTCTATTTCTGGGTTTACAAATCCCAGCGTTTTCTTTACCAAAACATCCTCTTCCAAAATAGTCTCTCCTGATTTCTTGTTCATGCCTCCCCTTTTTGTTTATAACTCTTGTCACTTCAATGGTTTTTATCTTACTGCTTGTGTGGCTATCTCTTTCTTCTCTCATTTCTCCTTTCCTTGGCAAAGCCAAGCTGCTGCAGAAGCCAATTAAAAAGAAATAAGATTGTATCTGTCAGGGCTGCAATGTAGCAGAAGATCTCCATGCTGCTGCCCTTATAGCAAGCTACTCGTACACATTAGCATTATTATTTCCCATTAGTGGAAGTGGCTGCTGCACAAATCCAATTCTGTCAAAGACTACTGAAGACTTTTCCTTTTTTTTCTTCTATGCAGCCCAAGTAACAGGACAGAGTGCTAACAATGTCTTCTTTTAATGGCACAGATCTGGCCTCATGCCTGGAAACTAATGTGGGCTGAAAATATAAAAGTCTACATAAAAATTAGATTGGCAGTACTTCTTTAAGTCAAGCTTTTCTGACATAAGCATCACATTTTACAATTCAAATATTAGCTATAAATATTTGCACAATCCTGACAATGTGCTTTTGGAATTTATGCCAGCTTGAGAGCTAAACTCTCATTTCCTAAGCACAGCGCTTAAAGCCTGAGGATCCCTGATGTCCTCTCATCAGAGAAAGAAGAGCTAATGTGAATCCCATGGTATTATCAGAACAAGTTTCATCAGAGAAAAAAACCCCAAAACAATAACAGTAGAAAGGATTTTCCAGCCTCTTCAGTAAAAGACTTTCTGGCTAACTGTTGGCTAACACAGGGAGCAGTAGACAAAAAAAGATTTTAAAATATTTTGGGTTGATTTTTCAGACTCTGTTTCTTCATTTTTCTAGAGGGACTGCAGGAAGTTGTGGTAGTGATGACAGAAGACTGAACTCACACCCCTAGTGATCTTTTTCAGCTGTGACTGTTGTTGGGCTCACAACAACCCTAAGTCTTACCTACTGAAAACAATAGAAGTTGGGATGCTCAGGAGACATTGTCCAGCCTGGGACACAATGAGCTCTGAGAGGTGCAGTGCCTGGCAGCAAGAAGGGCAGCTGTGCCAGTCTGGGACCTGGCCCAGAGAAAGTGAATGAAGCTGCATAGCTGGTTTATGCTTCAATTTGAAAATTCAGCCACTTACCAGTGCTGGTGGGCTGAGGACTGGGACCTGCTAACTATGGAGAGAAACGGGAGTGGAGGGTGGACATAAAGAGAAAGCTGTGACTTCTACCACCCCTTTAGTTTCAAGACAATACAATGCCAGAGCACAAGAGAATGGAGAACAGAATCTGCAGCAGCACCATGTAATGGCTCTGCCATTTGCTTCTTTCTCACAACAGCTCCCTCCTTATCAAGGAGACCTATCCGGTTTCAACTACATGTTTTAATTGTATGCCTGATGGCAATGTTTTTAAGCATAATGCTTTGTTCTAACACCAAAGATAGCAGGTGAGATGGAAAACAGTGGAGTTAAGCTGTGTTATGTCGATGCTAGATTAAAGCCAGAAGGGACAGCTCCAAGCATGTGATTTAACTCTGAGACAACATGGTACATTTCAGAAACATACTGTCTGGTTGCAGGCAGTTTAATGATGTGGGATAGGAAAAGCCACTGTAGGTGTTCAAGTAAGTGGGGAAATAATTGTGACAGCCCCTGGAATTCTGTTTTCACTGACTCATCTAAGGGTATGTATGCTTTTTACAAATGTGAGCTATCCAAGATGCAAGCAAATAAACTATTCAGTAATAGGAAGAATCGAGAGCAAGATCAGGGACTGCCACCCCAAGACAGTACACCATGGAGGAACTGTTCACCAATTAGAAAATCCCTTCTGTCAGAGAAGCAAACATGGTTTAAATCCTTAGGCTCCATGTATAAAACATCAAACAAGGGTTAAAGTAAAGGATATCGAGATACTTCCCTGGGAAACTGAACTGCAGAACTCACAGTAAGGTGACTGCTGTAGTTAATTTTGTCTGTGTGGTGGTGGCTGTGCACAAGGAATAGGGAAATGCTACCCAAAAGCACATGCACCTTTAAAAAGTGCTTTGTCCAAATAAAAGCAGCCATTAAGAGAAGCATGTACTTACCAGCTGCTGTTTTAAGGATGGGATGGAATCGTGGGGGCCATAAATTATACTGGGGTTATACTGGCTGAAGAGGACAGGATAAAACACCTTCTTCCCTGGAAATGACAATGGGTTATTTATTTTCTTTTAAAGCTGTATGGAACTCACTTCTCTCTCTTACAAGATGCTCTCTAGGCCAGACCAAATCCAAAATCACACAAATTTTGACTGAGCCTATATCCTTCGCATGAGAATATGAATGCAAGGATAATATAATTAACAAAAAGATCTTGTTCCAGAGAGCACAGCTGCTGAAGACAAGAAATTCATCACAGTGAGAGCAGGAGTGTTATAACCTTTCAAAAGCCAACCAGCAATGGATTTTTTATCCTCTTAATTAATTCTCTAAGTTTCAAGAATGATTTACTGCAGCTTCATTACCAATTCAGAGAAGAATACTCTGGTGAAGACTCTTACACAATTGGTAAAAATCTGTTGAAAGACAATACACTTCATGAGTAGCAGTACCTGGCTGCGTGTTCAATCTACAGGAGTTTAGGAATTCAGCTGTGAAGTATATGTCCACGTCACAAAAAAAGAGAACAACATTGTTTCCTTTCCAAAATCGAGCACCAACATCTAATCCTTTGCCCCTGGAAAATTCTTCGTTCAACTGGATGAAGGTGAAGTTCTTGAAGTTAGCTGACCTGAAAGAAAATATTCAGCAACTGACGCTGTCCTTCTAGCTCTTAATAGGTGGGTAAGGAAACCCAGTATGAAACAATTAACCTAGAAATCTGTAATGTCACAGTTCTAAGAGCAGTTTGAGGGAAGAAATGTCCATTTTGAGATTTCCACTATGTCTACATTCAGAGCTTGACCTGTGTACTCCTATGCTAGCATTCTTTCTTTGGGCAGACTTCACAAAAAATCCCAACAATGCTTAGATGGGCAAAAATACCTTCAGTAAGCAAATATAAAATACATGTGGTTGTATTACTGTAGAAAGGTCTTCTTCCCACATGGAGAGATACCAAAAGGCATCACTGCCACATGATCTTGACAAACACAGCAAGTGTGCAAGTAAACACAGACCAGACCTGGCCAAAAGCATCTAGTTCCTGTGTGCTCTGCTAATATTGTCTGCACATGCCCTTGGAAGCCAACCTTCAGTCCTAACAGTAAAGTTACTTTCAAATTTCAAAAGCACTAAAGAAGTTGCCAGTGTGAAAAATAAGCTGCACTGAGGCAAATTCATTAACATCTGCTTTGTGGTTCTAAAAACCAGCATCACAGAACCATGTTTTCACTGATGCAGTTTAGAACTTTTTGGTACAAGTCTGGATGGCTATCTAGTCTCCAATTCATGGTACAATTGTTGTTTATAAATAGCACACATCAGATGTTTGGGTACTTACTTGGAGGTACTTTCAAGTATTGATTTGACTTCATTCATTTGTTCTTTTCCAAAATAAACTACAGTGAGGTGAATTCTCCCATCCTGCTGAATGCCCATTTCCCTAGAGAATAGAAACAGATCTGTGACTTGTGCCAGAAGTTAGCTTTCTTCAATAACCTACACCCACTAGGCAAAACAGAGTAGGGTGAACCTTGGAAGGCATCCCTGAGGGCGCGATTCACTGACAGAGATCTTTGTCCTGACAAGGGGCTCTACCTCTGTCAGATGGGACAGAAGATCATATTTCAGGCAGATTAGGAAAATACACAGCAGTTTTTGTTATATTAATAGGAGGATCCCATTAAAATAGGTCATTGAGCCCCAGGAAGAACGATCAGGCAGGCAATAACTCTCCTAATAATTTAGGAGAATATTAGAGGTGGAGGTTATAGAAGCTATACATACTCACCTCTTAACCTTGATTTTTTGGTAATAGATATTTCAGAGTTCAGATCTTTGGCATTCTGTTAAGAAACATTTACTAAAATCTAAGTAACAACCAGAGATCAAGCCAGAAGCCTAAGCATAGGACCCTGATGAATCAATGCTAGACATCATGCCTCAGTTGTACAAAGTTTAGTCAGCAAGAGTTAATCTATAATCAGCAGAGATCAGCATGACCAGAGGGTGATTTCTTTCAGTCTAAAACAAGCACCTTTCAGATGGCTAATTTAGACAAGGAGCCTAATTTTAGATAGCTGTAATAAGGCAAAACAAATCCCTTTGTAAGAGTCAGTATCTGTTGCTAACACAGTCTTTTCTGGGCAGCTATTTAAAGCTATATCTCAAATAAATTCTCCTCCAAACATTATCTCCATGGTGAAAAATAGAAGTTTGAAAGTGACTATCCTGAAAGTTCTATTACATTTCCTTCTTGCCTTTTATCACCTTAATCTTTTCTCTAATAGCACCTAGCAAAGTGTCTGGGAGCACTAATTCCCCTTTTCCTTAGAAATGTTCTTTTGCAACTAATAGCATGAAATTCTCAAGTTGCCACAGTGAGTGGGCCCCAGCAAAACAGGTTGAGACACATAAGCCAGGTAAATGCAAATCAGAAACCCTGATGACTGGAATATAATTGCTTTTTCTGCTCATCACAATGCATTAAGCAGCCAAATGCCTTTCAGTCTCTATAATCATCTAAAAAATGAATTCTTAGTGGCACAATGGAATATTCTGTAAAAGTAGTATTATTTTTACTTAGTAAGGCTTGATAACTTCTAAAATTGTATTCTACTTTCCAAGTAAGAAAAAACAAAGTCAGCACTGGAATGGGAACCCACCTGAAATTCTGCATGAATTGCCGAAATTTGCTGGCTCTCTTGGCCAATGGCACAATGACATTAATAAGTGTGTCAGCTACATTGACATTTTCGTTTTTCACTTTCATTACAGGACCAAATGGTCGGAATAAAACAATCTTCTTGAACTGATGCTTTGTGTCTCCTTTGAACGTCAGCTCATACAATGTGCCTTTGTCTTTTTCTGTACGGTAGATCCCTACATGAAAACAAAAGAGGAGACTTTGGATTAAAGTTAGGATCCTTGGAAGATGATAGATAAAAAATGATGCAGTCTTCACCTGCTACACATAAGCTGAAAAGGCAGTGGAGGCATGAGATACTTGCTTGTAACCTAGTACACGATCCACCATCCACTGGAGGAGGCTGTTACCCTGGCAGGGCTACAGCCCTGGGTTGCAAGAGCTGTTTGGTATTCTCACAGGCACATTCCTAGGCTTGGCCAAGTTACAAACCCCTGAAGGTTACCAATTGCTCACGTCCTGCAGACACACTGTCCTTATTTTACAGACTGCTCCAATTGCGTGCTTCAGGCATGCATGGTAATAGTGATACAGAGGGACTTTGAAAGGCAGCCCGCCTCTCTGCAATATGAGTGATTAGGCCATCTCCCAGAAAAGCAATTTCCTGATGAGCATATTCCTTTCCTCCTTTCTGGGAGGTTCCCTGGAAAGTCCCCTAAAAAACTATGCAACTGGGCCCCAGCAGCCATCAACTTCACCCACCGTCAATCAGGACAAAACTGTCTTGTTACTCAATTCTCAGGAGACTTGTTTTTTCTGGCAATGATGCCCACTCCTGGGTAAGTAATGGCCTGCAAGGATGACACTTGTCAGAGTTTGTCAGAGGCTAGACCCAGGACACACTTTAGACAGTCTCCAAGGGTATTTAATTCATACAGGCATCTACTTACTTCCTGTATAGAAGGAACTTGCATACAGTGTCACTCATGCCCCACTGAAATACTATTCTGACACCTGAAATGAGATGAAGTTGGCAAAAAGGCGATAGATTTTACCCACTTTAAATGACGCTACTGTGCATACTGATAAAAAGCTTTTACATAGTTAGATCCATTAGGTTTAAGAAGGAATAAGTAAATGTTAATTTGAACAATTTGCTAAGCCACTGTAAATATCCCAACAAATTCATCAGTAGAAGAGTATAATTGCAATGACTTCCATTTCTTGCAGAAACACAAGAGACAAAGCAAAACTCATCAGGGAAAAAAATCCTCAGCTTAACTTGTTCCTTCTTTTTTATTCCTCCCCATCTGGCTGTGAAGAACAGCTTGACCAAAATAATGCCTTCTTTTTTTTTTTTCTTTAGATTCTTTAACCTTAAGTCATCTTTTTATATATAGCATTGTTGTGCACCTGACCCATAGATTGTCAGCTCTGATCGTATTTCATGTGAAGGTCTGTCTCAAAGGTTTACTTGAACTGCAAAGTGACATAAACTCTAAATCTCGTATTGTGGCTTTGATATTGGTATGTTCAGAACATCCAAAAAATTTGGGAGGTATTAATTTCCCGGGCCAGAGTTCTGTGAACACTCTTATCTTCCCTATCACTGTGTGTTTTATTCTTAATGAACAATATATGCAGATTCACTGAGCTGTTATTCACTTCATGTTTTATTTTTAACGTAAGTTGATTCAACAAATGCTCCAACCCTCCCTCCAGAATAGTAGATGAACCTAGTGAGATAACAGCTCCATCATTATTTTATTGCTAATATTTTAAAGCCACATCGTTGACTCTCCTTAGCTTTTCCTATATAGTTGTGCAAAGTACAGACCATGAACTATATCTGTTATTAAACTTGAGCCTGCACTTGAAATCATCTGAACGGTGACCTAATAGTCCCTGTATTTCCTCTTCCTGGTGGCCAGAGAATGGAAATCTGGGCCTTCGAGTTCAGCTCACCCATTTATTCTTCACAGAAAGCCTGCTGATGATTGGAGCGTGTTGCTGGCTACACTCATTTATTCAGGCAGTTTTTGAACACAGGTCTTGCCAAGGAACTTCGTGCTGTGGAAGGGTAAGGTAGCCTTTTGACATTAAGATGAACAAAAATATAAGCTAAATCTGATTTGCATTTTCTCAAAAGAGAAACAAATAGGAGGGTTTCACAGGTCTGACATAGCAGACTGACATTTTTTCATAGCAATGAAGATCTAAATTAAATTAACCAATTTAATAATAGCTACCATGCAACATCTGAAAGTCTTCACTTCTATATCCTCTTCTACCCCTGTCAAGAAACAATGACCCCCACAGATACCACTACCCCAGAGATATGTACCACATTTGTGGAATAAAGGAAGCTTTGCCAAATAAGCAAGAAGCACCTTCAAGCAGAATGCATGTTGTGACCCAAGGGATCCTTCCCAGTGTTATATCAAAAAAAGCTGCTTCTAACTCTGCAGTTTTGTCCTTGTTCAGAACTTCTACTACAGCTAAAAAAAAAAAAGCAGCTTAGGTGAAGGCAAGGTTCCCTCATGCAAGATGGTATTCCAAAAATTCACAGTCCTACCATTTTACCTTGAAGAGAACTGTATGCGAGTTTAATGCATACCATTTAATTAAATATGGTTATTCTTGATGCAAATTTAAACCATTTGTTTTCCTTTCTTAAGCATCTTCTTTCCTTTCTTAAATATCTTTTTTTTTAGAGGCAGAGAACAAAACAATTTGCCCAAGGTCAGACAGTGAGCCTTGGAAATAAGCCTGAATGTCTTGAGTCACTCCAGGGACTCACCCAGCAGAACATCCTGCTTTTCACAAGACTTTTCCATTTCCGAAAGCACTACTTCATTTCTGCCATCAAGACCTTTTACATGATTCAGAAACATGCGTCGAGCAGTCTCAGTTCTAAGAGGTGTTGCTCAAGGAGAGGAAGAAAGTAATCTCAAAAAAAGTAAAACAAAAACTTTTCCCTGAAAAGGTAGCTCCTGGAGCAGAAGCCTTGGAAAGGCCAAATGTTCACTACGGATAAAAGAAGGTCAATTGAGCTTCTATTGCTTCCATTACAGCAGTATGTTTCAGATTATGCACCAATCCTTTCAGAAGCAGAGAGAAAAGTCAAAGTCTTTGGAAATGCAATGTAAAAATAGGAACAGGAGCTTTGAGTCAGCAGAGAGACTGGCCCTAGAATGAAACGGAGAAGCAAAGAACAAAAGGGTGGCCTGAAAGGTTGACTAAAGAGCAGTAAGTGTGCAGCCTTCAGAATAGCAACTCCCAGGGCTCTCTAAAGAAATTGAAAATACCTGATCTCTATTCAGCAGGGCAGGCAAGCAAGATTCAGAATATACATGGCAAAGAACTATGCAACCTTAACAAAGTCCTCTTGAGTGCATGACAATTTTAGCCTCAGCTCCACAGACCATAGGTTTCAGGTCTTCCACTGTAAACAGAAATGCTCCTTGGACCAGAGCTCATTACTTATATTCTGTTAGATGTTTCTGGAGCCACTATTACAATTTATCAATATTCACTGTCCCCATTTTAACTTAATATGATGGTGGTCTTTCTGCTTCATGTGCAGTAAAATACATCACCTTATCCTTTGAGGAAGAGCATTATCCTTTCAGTAAGCTTCCAGGGCAAAATTGCATCAGGTAGCCCACCACCAGTACCTGTCATCTTGAGGAAGCAAAGCTACTTTTTCACATTCACCTCTGAGACCATATTTAAAACTCCAGGGTTGGTGGTTTAAGCTCAGCTAGTAATCCAGCACCATGCAGCCATTCACTACCTCCCACCCCGGCAGAATGGGGAGGAGAATAGAAAGCATTTAAACCCCATGGTTTGAGATAAGAACAGTTTAATAACTAAAGTATAATATACTAGTAGTAGTAATGATAATAATAATGATTATGATGATGATGGAAGTAACAAGCGGAGAGAATACAAAAGTAAAAGGGAAAAGGAAATCCAACAATAAACACAAGTAATGCACAATACCATTGCTCACCACCCACTGACCCAGCCTGACCTGAGCGGCGATCTGGGCCTTGTGGGTGACTCCCCCCAGTTTATATACTGGGCATGATGTGCTGTGGTATGGAATACCCCTTTGGCTAGTTTGGGTCAGGTGTTCTGTCTCTACTCCCTCCTGGCTTCTTGTGACCCTCCTCACTGGCAAAGCATGAGAGACTGAAAAGTCCTTGATCAGAGTAAGCATTACTGAGCAACAACTAAAACATCGGTGTGTTTTCAGCACTGTTCTCAGACTAAAGCTGAAACACAGCACTGCACCAGCTACTAGGAAGGAGAAAAATAACTGTTACAGCTGAAACCAGGACATCCAGTCACGAGAGAGTCATGTACTTCAGGCAGGAAAACTTATACAGCATATTTGACAGTGCCATGGCAGGGCATTTCTGAAGCAATCCAGGGATTTTCTGGAACTGTTCCTATTGGGAAAGAACATCACCAGACAGTGATTACATTCACGTATGGAACACACCACTCAGGCTTGTTAGAATCTCTAAATTATTATCTCCATCCTTGAGAAAATGAATGATTTGAAAATCTATTCAGTCTGCTGCCATTTACATGAACTAATGATCAGACCTGCAGTTCTGCCCATTGAGCAACTGGCTTTCTACTGGAAACAGAGCAGTCCTTTGCCTGCTTAGAATACCCAGAAAATTCTGATCTTTTCCATGTTGTTTCTTACTAACTCCTTGTAGCAAAAAGCAAGTGAGCTTGGTATAGAAGTGGGAGGAATAAGGAAGAGAGGAGAGGATTATAGCCCAAGTGCCTCTGCGAAGAGAGAAGCAGACCAGCAGCCAGATGGATACATTTCAGGCCCAAGGGAGAAGGTGTGGTTCTCTTGGTTTAAGGAAGAAAAAATGGAAAATTCCACCATGTGTCAGCTATTACTCCTGGAAGGAGAACTGTCTGAGAATCCTACCCAAATTTCATGTAACACCAAATCTGCTGAGAAGGAGTTTAGCTCAGATGTAAGGTACTAGGTTCACAACCTAATTCCCACGCATAAGTGGTTCTGTCTAGAAACTGCAGAGGATGCAACACTTATTTTAAGAGATCCCAGCCACAGAGACAAAACATTTATCCTTAAATGTAAGAAGTGTTTGGAGAAACATTTTCCCTCTGCAAAGACAACACTAAAGTGATGGAATGGAAAAGAGCAAGAGAAACAGACCCTAATCAAATTTACTGCACCAAACCACCACAATGGGCTAGTACTGAAAAAGTGCTAGCAGGTACCAGATGTGACCCACAAGAACAGGAAAAAACCAGACAAGAGGCACAATAAAGCAAGATTAATTTGCAGCACTCTATATATACTAGTAAGACTAGCTAGTGAGATCAGCAACACACTTGAGCAAAGCCAGTGTCAAAGGCTTCACTGAATAGGCAGAAACAAAGATGCAAGTCTCATGTATTAAGAGCAGCACTTCAGATTTTGTATCCTGTCTCTGACCCTGATTACCTGGTTTTCATTTCAGCACATCCCTTCACTTGCTCAACCTTAAGACAAGGGCATCAGACCCACCTTTAACATGTGAGATGCATACACCTTTTGCGCGTTATTGCTAGAGCAGCTTGAAGGTAAAAAGCTCACAGGGTTAAGTGGCACTACTTTCAGTGCAGACCTGGGCCACATCTCCCAGAAAATTCCAGCTATCCTGGCCAGTTCCAGAAGTGAAAACAGCTGGCTTTGGTGGCTGGATAATTCTGCTCACGGATGCTGTATTGCTGAATTCGTATAAAGCTGCCAGAAGCTGCCGTGGAATCCAGCCTGTTACTAAATTGTTATGTAGGCAGTGGCACCTGCAGAGCACTGTCTCCAAAACAAATTCTGAGTCCAAACCATACTTGAAATGCAGAATAGGAATAGAAAGCTCTCTTCTCCTGTTCAAGTTATACAAAGAAATACATTTGTTTGTGCTATGATCAGCAGTTTTTACTATTCTTGAAAAATGGAGGCTGGGGGAAAAGAGACTGCCAAGAGATAACAGAGATTTCCAAGGGAACTTTGCAGAGATATCTTCTGCCAAGTCAGCACAGCCCCATCCCCGCATTTGCAAACAAATCTGTTTGCACTACTAAGTAAGAATGAGAATTTGTTCCTTGCACCTACAAGAAGCTAGGGCTTGTCCTGGAGGGGAGGACACAAGGAAAGTTTCTTGAGCTGAGGCTGAGCTGCATGCAGGGCTCCAGTTTCTTAAGCTCTGAGATGCATGCAAGGCTTTCTCCCTCTGGAGTATTTCGTCATGGGTGTGAAAGCCTGCAAGGCCGTTAGTGCATGAGGAATCTCCACAGAGCCAGCACTGCAGCGTGCATCCTTTCCCATGCCTTTCTGCACACCACACTCTGCTTTGCTCCTCAGGAACAGCACTGGTACCCAGACAAAGCCCTCTGATTATGCATAAAGGTAGGCTCTAAGCAAAATGGTAACTTTATTGGAATATTAAGCAACATATGGCAGGAAACATCTATTTCCCCTCACCTCTCCCCATGAAAGAGCTGGTGCCAAGCAGTCATAGATGCTTATTCAGCTCCTATAATAAACAGTAGAAACATATTTTGAAATTATAGAACAAGCAACAAACAGAAAAGAGGAGACTAGAAGCACATAGCTCCATAATGTGTTCAGATGCTGGCAGCCAGCAGCACTTCCCAGTTCCCTGCCATGCCCTAGTCCCATGTCTGAGCAGGAGGAATTTGACTGGTGCAGAGAAAATGCCTGCACCAGAGAGGAGCCAGGACCTACCTCAACAAGGTTTTTAAACACTGAAAAACTGTCTATATCAACCACAGAGACATCACAACTCCTGAAATTCATCTGAAGTACTCCTGAAATACACCTGGTGTCTCTGCCTGGCTGCGAAAAAGCAGCCTGACTGGAAACAAGTAAGCACTTTGGATTTAGTGACAGAATAAATGAAGACTGGTCGCTGTAAAAAATGGCACTTAAAAAAATGGCACTTTAAAAATCCACACTTCCTGCCTCAATATTACATATCAGAGTAAAAACTGTTTAGATTCATTTTAGAATCCAGGGGCTGAGTTGCACCACTCTTTATATAGGAGATACCCTGCAAGGGTTAGGCTTTCATAGTCATTTGAAGTTGCAGGTGATACCAGCTGACTTTACTGAGCTCCTCAGCTGCTGTCCTCAAAACCTGTCTTGCCACTCTGACTCTAGCAGAGCTGGGCAGGTGGAAATAAGTGTAACATTGGAGTTTGGATTTGGACTGCAGTTATCAGTCTTAACAGTGACAACAGGTCTGGGATTGCAGCCTGGTCATTCACCCCGTGTTTTGTCAGTTCTGAAGCAAGTGCATGACTAGAGAGCTGTCAGCACACATTAGTGGTCACTACAAGAGACCGGCAGGCACTGTTGTCACAAAGTCCAATTCCCCAGCAAAGCTGCCATTCTGCAGTTGTACCTGAGACAGCATCACTGGGTCACAACATCAACATCATCACAGACATCTGTGCTCTGAGATAACGCCCACCTCCCTCAGGAAAGCAGTCACACCAAAACCCCTCACCAGCACTATGTAAACCCTTCTAACCTGTCTGCATACAAACCTTCAATGAAGTCAGAGGCTGTGTACGCACGGTGCTTAGCATTGCCATTCCCCTCTGGATTGTTCAAACTCCCAACAGCTAACTCGATCACCTCTATCAACTCATTTCGCTTATCCTTCCTTACAGGTTTCTCTTCTGGGTGGCGCGTCAGCCCTGTCTCCAGCTGGTACACCTTCTGAAGGGTGAAGGTCTCAAAGGGCACAACCGCATACTCTGTGGACAGCTTAATGCCGCTGTGCACCTCAGCTTTGTCTATTTGGGAACGGAGGAAAGCCAGCAGATTAGCCTGGGCCTTCTCCGGGTTGCTGTGGTCAAGTCGAATGCCCAAAAGGTCTGGGTGCTGGTCCTGCATGTTCTTAAACTGCTCACTCCTGCCCTGAAGCTCAGCCTTCAGCTGGGCAATTTGTTTCTTCAAACTGATGATGTAGTTGAGGTGATACTCTTCTCGCTCTTGCAGAATGGCTTCATATCCCTCCTTCATGGTCGGACTGTGCACCCTGGGCAAGGAAAGCTGCTGATTGTCACCCTTGGGTGTGCAAGCCAACATATAAACTATTGTCACCAAGCAACAGGCCACCATCAGCAGGCCTACAAATCGGGGGAGAAATAGAACAAATCTTCGGCGGAGAATCATCACTCAAAAAGCAGTCTAACCCCACACATGCAACAGTTCTTACATCCACGCAGTGCCACAGAGGTCCCTGGACTTGGAGTATTCTTACACAGATACATGTATGTGCAGGAGCTGGCTTGTCAGCTCTCTTAAAACATGTGCTCTGCCTCTATATTGGGCTCTCTCCGCTGTTTACTTAACAGGACCAAAAGGCAGGCTATGAAGCAGACAGGACACCTCCCAATCCTCATGGCAACACCTTTGCTGCTGCAATCTGTTCAGCTGGTGGCTGATGGAGCCTGAGGACCTGAAAGACAAATGACAAGGACAGTCATTTAAGCACATCTGAATTTGGTCATCCAGTCCAAACCATTAAGAATGTTCTAAGAATTTACCTCATTTCTCAGCTGCTTTGGCACATCTCAGAGTTGTGAAGTGCTTGTGCTAAGACCCAGAAGGTACCAAGACCCCTACATGGGAAATCCTGTATGCATGAATTGAATTTTAATAACATGACTTCATCCATTGCCAGTGAAAATCTGGTCCAGGCCTCAACGTCTGTCATGATTTAGAAATTTTAGGAAGTCATCATCTATTACTTTTTTGGGAGATGTTAAGGTGCTAAATTCATCCGAGCAATGACGAAGTGTTCTGCCTCTTAGAGCACTCAGATTTTGAGTCCCACAGCTACCGCATAGATTTCAGCTTTCAGGTGGCAAATGCAGTCCCGTTTGAACATATGAAGCCTGACCTGGAGCAGAAATTTGATAACCAAGAGACTAGAAACTGTTATCAAGGCCAATTGCTGCAACTAGTACTGTTTGACATATCCTACCAGATGCTCCCATTAAAACTAAAGAAGTAGAGAGAGGATTTTTTAGGAGCATTCAGGCCAAGTCTTACTCAAAATCAGGGGAAGCTTTGTTTCCAACTAAGGCTGTCAGCATTGCACACTAAGTTATCATTTTAAGGCTCTCTTCTCTTTCTCGTAACGTTATAAAAAGTCTTACAGCAATGTTCAGTACTACTGTGTTTCCCACATATGCTCTCTGCTCAGGAGTGAAAACCACAGAAAAGGTTTCAGGAAAGCTGGCTTAGGTATGTTTTTAAGTAAGAGAAGTTAAAACTGGGAACGTTATAATTTTTAGTAAGATTTCCTCATGTATACTTAGAAGCAGGACAGAAAAATTAGATGACTGAACACAAATATTGATCTAGATGTAAGCTACATCAAAAACTGCACTGAGAATACTACCAGTGGGATTTTCAAAATCCCTATTTTTTGGCCTAAAACCATGCTAATGCAAGGAGCTTCATCATTTACTCAGCCGATAGTAGATTTAGGCCAAGGCTGAGTAATGTCCTAGATTACACTGATGCTACAATGTTAGAGTCAAACACAATCAAATTAATTGAACAACCTTGCTGCTCTCCCCTTGCATGCATGTATGACATTATGACACTTCTTTTGACAACAGAGATTCACAGTCCTTCTAGCCATACACCCTTTCCATCAGGTCCTTAAGTAAAAATAGGTTGTCTATCAGAGTTATAATCTTAAATCAGTCTTCTGTAGGATGTTGTATGAACTGCTACACAACTTCCTTCCCATGCCTTGACTGACTATTGCTCTATATATAGCAGCTATGCAGTCGTATTTATCTTTGAACTGTTATCAATATTTTATCAGTCTGCAGAGCTTCTAGGAAAAAAAATGCACTTTTAGAGTAGGAATTGAGGAAGCTAAAGTGAGCTATGAAAATACTACTGTATTTTTCTCAATGCTGTAATGCTGAATGGCTATTATAATATTTAGAGGATTCTCCAGAAAATGTCTAATGAAGAATTGTTGATGTTGAAGAAAATATTCAAGCAGCAGGAAAAAGGACAGGATGAAGTTGGTGACCTTACCTTTTTGTTGTGATCTTCTCTTTGGAGCATCTTGGTCTGCTACAGCTACTTCTCAGCTTGTCACGATAATCTGTTTATCTCCCTTCTTATGCCCTTCCCAGAAAATGCTTGTACTATGGAAAGCACTGTCAACCTGAGAACACCTTTTCATTGCTTTCACATTTACCAGCAGCCTACATCTTCAGTCTGTCTCCTGTTTGGTGAAGGCTGTAGTGGAGACGCTTCCTATGGCTGTACTATAAAAGCTGGCCTCCTGCAATGTAAAGGAGCTTGTCAAAGCAGGGAAAATTAATCTGGGCATTTCTAACTCTACAACAGATCTGGCTAGAAGACTGCAAGAAAGTAGTGTGCAGTGAGACAGGGTCAGGAAGTGGTAAGATGTAGTACATAAAACACTGCTGTGCTTGTATGCTTCACTTCACACAATCAGTCCATTGACAGAATTGGCAGAAGCTGAACATCACTGAAAGGATTAGTTGTGCTAACATGGCATAAACTGAAATTACATCTCAATGGCTTAGATAAACACGCAATTTCATTTCTATAAGCAGCAACATATTTGAGTTCTGGGTAAAGAGCTCTTCAAATGTTGACCTTAAAATGTATGTGTCCATATATAGCCATCTTCACTAAAACATACTGGGTCTCTCTTCAGAGTACTCTCTTTCCTATCTAGTTTTCTGGTTTATAATCTCAGGCATCAAAGATGCATCTTTAAAAACTCTTCAGAACAGTAAAATAACTGAGCCACCATTCTCGTAACAAGACATTCAGGCTGTGAGGATTGCTGCCTTCTTCATGCCAGTTTTGGCATCACGACTGGAGGCATCTTGACAACAAGCACTTATTACTTACTCTCTTTTTTTTTTGCTAGATCTGTCTTACTAAATGGTACTGGTGGCATCAGTGGCACTGTCTTACACTGACTGATATTTAACTATACAGTTGTTACTGTACTTCCTATCTCATGGGCATGCTTGTGAAAGCAGTCCCAATCCATGTCAGTGCCAAAAAAAGCAGGTTACTTTAAGTCAACACTGAAGGTGGTCACAGCTAAAGCATCTTAACTGGACAGACAGTGCCAGAAAGCTAGGGATGGTCACTCCTCCTAACAACCGTTCTGTTGATTTCACCAGACCTACACAGTTTCACACCAACTGAGAGAGCCTGAGATCAAGAGGAGACAAACTGAAATGTCAGTTTTTTCCAGGAAATGACACAAACACCTCTGTATTTCACAGCAGCCAATTGCATCAAATAGTATTAGTCTATTTGCAAAGAGAAGCTTTAATGAATACCCAGTGGTTAGTCTGATAGACAAGAAAAAGAACATTAAGTCTAAAAAAGTATCTGTCTGCAAAAACGTCTTCAACCTCAGCTCAACCTGTTAGCACAGCCAGAGGTAAGCCTAGCACACAGGGGCTTTTCATTTCTTTTCAAGGAGCCTGAGCCCAAAAATGATCTGAACACAGAAACGGGTTCTGTCACCAGTGTAAGCACTCTGTGAATGGCTCCACACAGTGGAGTGTGCTGCACCATAAAAAGTGGCAAAACTTAACAAAGTTGGTTGGTATGCACCCACCACTGTTACCCACCACAGATGTTACCAGCATCTGGATTTTTAATGGGCTGTAGAGATAAAGGAAATTTATCCCTGCACAGAAAAGACAATGTATTTTATGTATGCATTTTTGACTCCCAAAAACAAAACTGAGAATTTGAGCTTCATACTCCCCTCGCTCTTCATGTTGAGGTCACAAATGGCTGGCAAAAGAACAGTCATATTCACAAGGCAGCAATCTCCCAACACACATGGAATGGGCAATGCCAAATAATTACATGCTCTCTGCTACAGCTTCCTATTGCAGGTTTAACTCAGACTGGTAAGTACCATTTTAGCTCAAAAAACTTCTTTTAATCCCTTTTTTTCTTCTCCCCCCCCCCCCCCTTTTTTATAGAGGCAGTGAATGGCAGAAGCTGCAATTAGTTTTCTAGTAGGTGTTTGAAATATCTTCACTGAACAGCTGAGTTCAGCTGAGTGAGATTTCATTAGAATCATATTAGTCTTCAGAACGAGCTGCAGGGAGAAGGAAACAGATGTTTCACCTGGACTTTAAGTGTCTTACACACACACACACAAAGACAATCTGCAACCACTTGGCATTTGCTTTGAACTTTTTAATTATGAGTACTGCACATACCACTGCAGGCAAATTAGTCTGCTTTAAAAGCTAGGGACAAGATTTTGCTCCCTAAATCCCTTGATAAAAATTCAAGCCACTGAGCAAAATGGGACATGTGACAAGGATGAAAATAGAGTCTTACACAAGTGCTTAAGGTGCATGTGGAGGGAATGCAAAAAGAAATTATTTCTCCTTCAAGCCAAATAATGATTTACCAACTACTCCTCAGCCAAGTTCATCTGAATTAAACAAAAGGCAGAAATAAAGGCAAGAACCTGTCTGATAAACTGACTGTGTGCACCTTCATAGCCTCTCTGTACTCCAGCATTCCCTCCTGGGTTGACACTCACACATCCCAAACAAACCACTTAAAATCCTAATATCTGGTTTGCAACTGATAGAGCACTTGAAACAGGAGGAAAGGATTGTTAAGAAATAGCATCCAGAATCAAAATGCTAAATGCCAGTACTTGAAGACAGTAGACAACTTACTGTAAAAATATTCATTTCCTAATCCCCAGTTCCAGAGTAATCTTCAGCAGATTCTACTCATATTTCCATGCATACTCTCAAAGTCAGTCTCAGTATCTAACTCGTCCACAGAAGGCAGTTGCACTGTTCCCCTTTATAACTGACAATTACAATCTGATCATCTTGCAAAAAGGTTACAACTATTAGAAGCAGTCTTAAGCAGAACAAGAAATGTTCAAAAGCCTTAATGTTCCTAGAAATACTATGTTTTCTCCTTGTGAGGGAGCTGAGAAGTGGCTGGCTTTACATTTAAGATACTGCTATATGCTTCTCACTCTGGAAGTTAAAAAAACAATGCAGAAGTTTTAACTTTTCCCTTCGTTGGCAATTTGGATCATAGTGCAGCTAATTTAATTGGTTCCCTCCTATCAAGAGGAGCAACTTTCCGTAAGAGCATCACCTGACACTCCACCCCTATATTCTGCAGTCTAAGTGTACTCACATTAGACCATCCCCTTACATGTAACAAAAGACCACACAGAAGTTAAACATTAGTTAAGTTCTAACCACACCTGAAAAGAATCAATAAAATATCTGAAATTATCTCCACACACTGATAGCATCACTGTTTATTATACATAAGAATTATTACTTCAAGTAAGTGCAACAACACTAGCAGAAGTGCTTTCTCTCCCCCAGAACAATGTTATGTGTGAAGACTTGGCAGTTTTCCACAGATCAGTAACCAGCAATTATAGGAGTCTCTATTAGGAACGTTATTTTTTGTATTAGACACTCAGATTTCCACCTTACAACCACAACACACTACCCCTCTCTGCTAAACACACTGACTTGTAGGTGTATAAACCTGAACTTTCTCAGTACAATTGTTAGTTGGAGGTACTATAGGACACTTCCAAAAGCCTTTACTGGACTTTCCTGGAAGTTTCCAACACTGTTTGTTCTCCAGAAGGCAATGTAAGAGATGCGTGTCCTGTCATGATCTCCAGTCTGACCTGGAGATTCCCTTCTCCTCTCCTTGTCAGGAATCCCCTGCTACAGCTAGAATCCCCTGTTACCAAGCTAGATAGTGAACTAGAGCTTCATTAACTCTAGCAGAGCTGACAGCAGAGGAGGTTTCCTTCCTTCTGAGTCCAGCATGTGTGAATGGAGGAGAGACATCTGACTCGCACAAACCCAGTGATACTCTCTCATGGTAATGCAGAGCCCTAAATTTTGTGCAATCTGTACTTACTGTACTTACAAATGAAATATGCTGGGAAGTGTGGTATCAAGACAGTCCTTCAAATAAAATAATCAAGAGTAAAGAGGACAAGAGAAAAACATCTTGGTATACCAGGTATAAAGGTTTTGGTATGTTATTGAGGCTGAGCAAGACTTAGCAGGATAGGGACTAGTACTGCTGACCAAGACCACTGTTCACCTATGATTTACACTACAAAAGAAAATCAGGTTTCAGACTGCAAACAAATAATCAAGAAGCCAGAAAATTACTGCAACCTGGTCCAGTTCTGAGACAGGTACCCAAGCTCCACACATAGCTCTAAAACATGCAGCATTAACAGTTCTCATAGCTCACCTACCAATCCCCAAGCTCTGCTGATCTGCATCGCCCTATCAGTCTGGTCAGTACGGGTGAGCAGGAAGAGACCAGTCCTGTGACTCAACCCCCATTTCCTTCCTCCTCCAGGTTAGCGCTTACTGTGAATCAACAAGTGCCACAGAATCCCATTTCGTTCATCACTACTGTTTTGGTATGTGGTTTTGGTCAAAGATCTACCATTTCCTTGATATATCAGGAAAGAGTCTCCTAGCAATTCTTTGAAAAGCCCAAACTTGTTACCTATTTCAGTAAAATATTTTTTCTCTTTTAGATAAAGTTTCCAAATATCAGAAAACCACAGACTCATTGGGGTTGGAAGGGACCTCTGGCAATCATCTGCTCATCTGCTCCAACTCCTGAGCAGGTTACACAGGAACATGTCCAGTCAGGTTTTGAATGTCTCCAGAGAGGGAGACTTCACGACCTTGCTGGACAGCCTGTTCTAGTGCTCTACCATGCTCTATGTAAAGAAGCTCACCCTCATGTCGAGGTGAAAATTCTTGTGTTTTAATTTGTGGCCACTGCTCCTTTGCCTGTTGTTGGACACCACTGAGAAGAGTCTGGCACCATCCTCTTGGTACCCATCTTTGACATATTTATATGCATTAACGAGATCCCCTCTCAGTCTTGTTTTGTCTAAGCTGAACAGATCCAGCTCCCACAGTCTCTCCTCATAAGAGAGATGCTCCAGACCCCATATCATCCTTGTGGCTCTCCACTAGACCCTCAGTGTCTTTTTCATTTTCTTATTTGAGGCTTACATAATATTTGAATCTCACTGACTTCACCTTCACCATTAAACTAGTCAATTCTTTATTATGGGAACTTGAAAAAATAAATCCCAGCAAAGCTTCTGCAGCAAAGGTCCAGGCAGAGGGGTAAAAGAAAGAAAGACTGTATAAAATTATATAGAGAGAGCCTATCTAATTGACCATGAAATGATTTTTCCAAAAGGGAATTGAAACAAAAACCCTGAAGACAAGCGAAGGAACTATCTTACAAAACACAGCTATCTATAAAGTTTTACTTAAAACAATTGATTTCCACAGAATGAAGATGTTAGCTTTGCATGATGCACTTAGATGGATTTATCTTTAAATAGAATATTTCAATTGGTTGAGAATGTCTACTTTGTTTTAACTTACCAAATCACAGTGCTTCAACTTCTCATTTCATGTCGGTTTGTGGGCTTCTTTGAAAACACTAGAGCACACACAGGCCCGGATCAAACATCACTTCTGGTCAAATAGCTCTAAGGAAAAAGATCTAATTTTATGAGAAATGTCATCACATTTTTATATCCTTTAACTGAGTAATCCAAGCCACATTTATGAGACACCTGTTCACAGTTGCTGTGGTTTCTCTCATCCTCAAATACTTCAATTCAAACAAGTAGTCTGATAGACTAAGTTACAGCCAGAAAGATAATTTCACATTGATCATCAAGAAATTTCAGTTCCTTCATTGAACTCTATGAGTGTCTGGGATTAAAACTAGTTTATCATGGAGATTTTAATTGCAGTTACTGCATAGCTCTTAAATAAAAGCTATTCAGCTAGAAAGCATTAAATGTTAACAAGTTCACAGAAGAACCATCCTGATTGTCTAACACAGGGCTGATCGATGACATTAGTAAAGACAGTTTCCCTTGTTAGTAAAAGTTGTCTTTTCTTTCCCTCCTTTGTTACACACAAGAAGTACACCCGGTAGTCAGGTCAGCATTTCCTGAAGGGTTCCAAAGAGCTTCCCTCTTAAAACAACAACTTCAGTCTTCAATCAGAAGCAAAGCACTTTCCATGCAAAATGATGAAAAAACATACACAATATGAACCTCCACAAACTTTTTTTCCTCATTTTACCACAAAGACATCTGCCTTGGTTTGATCTAACAAGTCACGTATCAAAGGGTCAAAGTATTCACATATCAAAGTATTCAAGTTCAACCAAACTTTTTTTTTTAAGACAGTTCATTTTTTTTAAAGACAACAGCTTCCTGAAATTAAGTGCATTTATAACAGCTTTCAGAAAATGTGAATGGAAATAAGAAAAAAAACAAAAAAACAAACAAACAAACAAAAAAACACAACCAAAAAACCACAAAACTACCAGAATATTGGAAGAGATTTTTTTTTAAGGAGATGAGCTCCGTGCTTCTGAGTCTTTGTTTCTGTTCATATGGAAACCTGCCTGCAAACGATAACATTATTTTTTATTTTAACAAAGATTGGCTATAATCTGTGCTGGCACAGCTATGCAGGCTGATGAAATAAAAAGAAGAAACTGCTGCTGTGCCTTCACAGATTTCTCCTTTTCCCTTCTTTTAATACAGTTGCCTGTAGAACATTAAAATCATACCATTTTCAAAAAGAACCCATGGCAGTTTAACTCAGAGGACAATATTCCCACAACCAAGCCAATGTCTTTTAGTCTCCCTCTTTTCTAGCCCCTAAAAAAGGAAATGCAGCTGTTTTCTGTGGTCTTTTACAAGTGTACATGGTCCCATTAAATTCTCTGAAGGTTTTACTGTAACCATGCAATGTATTGTGGATTAAAGTTTTAAAGAGTCAGAACCCTCAGCTCTGGGACCCCAACAAAAGAAAGATGTGATCCTGTTGCAGCAAGTCCAGATGAGGGCCACGAAGACCATCATGGGGCTGGAGCACCTCTCCTATTAAAAGAAGCTGAGAGAGTTAAGCTTGTTCATCATGGAGAAGGCTCAGGGGAGACCTTGTAACAGTCTTCCAACACCTAAAGGGGGTCTACAAGAAATCTGAGAGGGACTTTTTACAAGGGCATGTAGTGACAGGAGCTTAAGGAGAGTAGATTCAGATCAGACATTAGGAAAACGTTCTTCACTGTGAAGGTGGTGAAACACTGGAACAAGTAACCTAGAGAAGCTGTGGCTGCCCCATCCCTGGCAGTGTTCAAAGCCAGGTTGGATGGGGCTTTGAGCAACCTGGTCTAGTGGAAGGTGCTCCTGCCGGGGTATTGGAACCAGATGATCTTTAAGGTCCCTTCCAATCCAAACCATTCTGTGATTCTATGAACTATTAGTCCTACTGTTTTCATTGTTTATAATCTGCACCATGCAGCTGATGAGTAGATATTAATAAAGTTTCTGCAATCTTACACATCACAATAACTGGAAAATTCAAAGAACATAATTATCTTAGAGAACCTGGGACAAGGGTACAATCCTAAACAGAACTCTCCTTTACTTACTGTAAGCAGCATGCATTCTGGGAGATTGACTCACATTACCTAAGTCTAGGCTCTTGCACTTAACTACTGAATTGTAGTTTAACTACTGAATTGTAGTTTAGATTGGATATAAGGAGGAAATTCTTTCCTGTTAGGGTGGTGAGGCACTGGAATGGGTTCCCCAGGGAAGTTGTGAATGCTCCATCCCTGGCAGTGTTCAAGGCCAGGTTGGACGAGGCCTTGGGTGGCATGGTTTAGCGTGAGGTGTCCCTGCCCATGGCAGGAGGGTTGGAACTAGATGACCTTAAGGTCCTTTCCACCCTAAATATTCTATGATTCTATGAATTATCTCCCTGACTCCACCTAAACGCAGCAAGAATCATGTTTCTGCTGGGAGCCCAGGGAATTTACCTGGCTAACAACCACATAGTCTGTCAGATGCCTGTGGATGGCTGGGGCAAATGCTTCCTAAGCCCACCTATTCCACTGAAGAGCTATGCATAAGCATCATCATACTAAGCCAGCTAAGTTATTTTCCATCATTACAGTGTATTCATTACTGCAGAAGACCACAACTGAACAGAGGTAACATACCAGGAACTCCTGATGACTTTGACACACTGACTTGGCTCATATAAGACTGATTCAGTGTCTGTTTATTCATTTTATTTGACTACAGCCACTTGTATGTGATTACCGGATATCACACAGCCTGTGCAGTGCAACAGTATAGTATGTCGCTCCAGTAAGAACACCACACCCAAAATGCACTGAACAGAAAAGGGAAAGAATGTAACAAAACCCAGATCTTCTCTCCCCTTTGGTTTTATACACCTGCTTCTGCTTTATCCCAGGTATTCAACCTCAAAATGTATACTTGACTTGAAATGCAAGAAACAGGCACCAATCTGAGTTAACAAGCTGCTTTCTAGCTGAGGAGTCATACATACATCCATTATTACAGGCCTAAATATAGCAATCTTTGAGAAGCTGATAGAATAGCAAAATGTGGCATATGGATACAAAAGTAATCTGTTGATAAAAGGAAAAGATTGTGAAAATTAATTTTAAACAGATAGTTAAATAAATAAAGCAATTTTTCCCAACTTTGAGTAGCAAAAATCGCCATCATTATTAATGATGTCAGAGCCAACTGCTCTATCTGGGGTCTCACTGCATTCACTTGAAAATAGGCAGGCTTTCAGGGAGTGAGGTCAGCTCCAGATGAAAGTTATGCAGATTCCTAGCACTCTTCAAATGCTCTTTAGGTATTCTTTCTACCCATTTTGCATCTCTACACATAATAAATCTCTTGAGAACAATGATCCTTACTGCTCAACGTTTTGCAGAGTGAAAGTCAAGTCCAGTTGGGCCATCAGTGAACTTATTGTGACAACAAGGCAGCAAATCCAGATCATGGTCCATAGCTTCTTCATTCTCCATCATAGATTCACAGGCCATTTCAGAGGCCCTAGCAAAACTAGCCTGGCTGGTCTACTTATTAGAGGCCCAGAAAGTGTAAATATGGTACAAACTATGGTTCTAGCCCAGAGGAAAACGAGTATTAAAATACTAAATATCTTGAAATTAGGACTCATCCAAAATCTCATCTTAGCCCTCAAAATTAGGACCGTAAAACTAAATACTGTGCACATATTGCAGCCACACAGGAAGATTCCTCAGCTGCTGTTAGATCTGGAATTTCACATTAATCTGTCACACAGGGGGAGAAAGAAGGAATTTGAGGAGCGGATGTGAGGCAAATACCTTGGTCAGGATCTCACAGCATCATTTTGCATTTCCTTCTTTTAAGAAGTGCACACACTCAGGGTCACTATTTTGATGTGTGCACCTTTTGCTGGGTGGAAGCTCTCCCCTCCATCCAAGCACACTCTCCTCTGTAAATGAGAAACTGGTTTAAGAAGCACAGCTACAGACAGAAACACCAAGTTGTTGTTATAGGATGGGCTTTTCTACATCCATTAGCACAGGAAAAAATTATTTGTGGCCTAAAGGGAAGGAAACAAGAGGAGCAGCAGAGAAGGAACTTCCTCGGGTGATGAACTGTGCATGGAGGTCCCTGTAGATACGGGTCCCTAATATCCAGCCAAAGGAAGGCAAAAATAAGAGTGAGGCAGCTTACTGTAATGAGTAGGAAGACTTGCTTTTAGGCAGCCTCTTTTCCAGGGTAATTCAAGCTAAGAGTCATTTCCTGAGAACACACTCCACTAGAGGCTTATGCAATAGACCATTTGCAGCACACTTTACAGCCTGCAAAGATAAAAGTAAAGTTCAACTGCTCATATTCCAAAGCACTGGCAAAACACAGTCCTCCCTCACCCCAAATCCACACTGACACACCACCACAGAACACAGGCTATATTCATTAGTCAGGTTGGTTCCCAGGCTTGATCCATTTGAGTCTGCAAAGCTGTCAAAACAAAAGTCACAAAATGACCAGAAAATGCTTCCACCATAGCCATGACAGACAGCCCAATTTGTTCAGTTTAAAAGCTGCGTGCATCAAAAGCTTGGGATTTAAAGACTCCAGCATACCCATTTCCTGCTGTTACAAACACCTGATCAATCTCACCTGACAAACACTGTATCCATCACTGGGAACAGCAAAAAAGCTTTCTAAAACATACACCACCTTTTCCATCAGTGTAGCAATGATGTAACAAGATGAGGTTTCTCCCACAGTTGAAACACTGCCCTCTCAGGCTACTTGAAACAAAGGACTTGCTAAAAGGAGATGGTGTACTGTGAAAGTAGAGCTCAAATTTGCATTTCATTAAAGAGAGTAATGGAAACACATAACATTTAAAAAAAAAATCATCCCACAAAAAGGCTATTACTGGGGTGGTCATTGGAAATGTTTTCCTTTGGAAAAGGGGAAGTTCCCCAAGGAGTTAAGGTAATGATAATACTAGTAGAGGAGCATTTGCAGTGGGTAGCACTAGTTCTACTGTAACTGTCAAGACATACTTCCCTGCGTCATAGATAAAGTATGCTGGACAAAACACTGCTGTCCCACTATCACTTTCAAAGAAACATAACATCAAGAACGCAAACACTACAGCTTATTTAGAGTTGTCAGATAACATGAGGACGTCACACAGACTTATCAGTAACTCCTGATAAATCAAATGAGATAGAATTTACAATTAGTAATGTATTAGTAATTTTCTCATGAAAACAGCAGTCAGCTGCAGTGACGGAAAACAAACCTTTTTCACACCTCTGGTCTTATGCCTCCTGGGTAGATTTCAAAGGCACAACCAGCACAACATGAGAAATATTTTCAGAGCCTTACAGCTGGATACATTTAGTTACCCTTTGCTACATTCAGGGGAAGTTTAGATTGGATATATGGAGGAAATTCTTTCCTGTTAGGGTAGTGAGGCACTGGAATGGGTTGCCCAGGGAGGTTGTGAATGCTCCATCCCTGGCAGTGTTCAAGACCAGGTTGGATGAAGCCTTGGGTGATATGGTTTAGTGTGAGCTGTCCCTGCCCATGGCAGGGGGATTGTAAATAGATGATCTTAAGGTCCTTTCCAACCCTAACTATTCTATGATTCCATGATTCTATGAATTCCTCTGTTTAATCTCAAAATGTCATATCCCTCTGATTAGTTCAACACATACACTGTAATAGAACATTTGAAAACAGCAAGTACAGTAACTTGCTTTGTGCCTGCATGAGGTCATTAAAGAAACACAAACCTTAAAATTCATGACCAAGCCTATGCCATTTAAGCTCAGCAATCAAATTGCAAGCTTTCTGCATGCAAAAGGGGAGACGTATCTTGTGCCAAGATGACATTTATACTCAAAGTAAACAAGAAGCACAGCCTGCATTTAGTGAAGTGGAATGGAGCATTTACTACTACTTTGGGCAACCTGTGCCAGTGCCTCACATCCCTCACAGTAAAGAACTTCTTCCTACCTGAACTTCATCTGTTTAACTTCGAACCTGTTACCCCTTGTCCTATCACACCAATCCCTGATGAAGACTCCCTCTCAGCATCCTTCAGATACTGGAAGGCTGCTATGAGGTCTCCACGCAGCCTTCTCTTCTCCAGGCTGAACAGCCCCAACTTTCTCAGCCTGTCTTCATATGGGAGTTACTCCAGTCCCCTGATCATCCTCATGGCCCTTCTCTGGACTTGTTCCAACAGGTCCATGTCCTTTAGATGTTGAGGACACCAGAACTGTACACAATACTCCAAGTGAGATCTCACAAGAGCAGGGTAGAGGGGCAGGATCACCTCCTTGGACCTGCTGGTCACACTCCTTTTCATCCTGAAGCCCAGGATATGGCTGGCATGTAAACAAGCCATACACTTGTGAAAACACAAACCACATGTTCCAACCTGAAACTTCATTCTAGAAAACAGAAGGGACTCAGTTAAATTGTAGATTGTGCTGCCCTCAAGCATTCCTCCAGTCTGGCCATTAGCACTGATATACCCAAGTATATCAGTGAATACACAACTCCATTTGCTTTGCTGAAGTGGTGGAAAATGTGTTTAGAAGGAAGAAGTGAGGAGTAAACAAGTGGAGACACAAGATGAGGGTGTTTGTGGGAACCACTTACAATGACATCACTGCTAAAATAACCTTGCAATGTGAGGAAATTGGCTGCAAGTAGGTTCACAGCTACCAAATGCCACAAATCCTTAACATGGTTTGAAGCAGTTTTGCTGAAGGGAAGGAACCATAACAACTTGCTTGGATTCTGAAATGTGTTTGGGAAAAACATTAAAAAAAACAACAAATCAAAACAAAACCAAAATGACAAAACCAAACCAAACCAAGCAAAAAAACCAAACAAAACAAAACCAAACAAAAACAAAACAAAACAAAACAAACCCAAGATGTACATACCTGCAGAGAACATCAAGAAAGCCTTAGAGAGCACAACAGCGCTTACTCAAGTGACCCTCCTATTTTCAAAGTGCAGCCTTTACCAGCAAGTGACTGTCAGCTTTTGCTCTTCCCAAAGGCAGGCTGGGTTACAAAGCTCTTAACACCCCTCTTTTCACCAAGTATATTTATCTCAGCAAGTCCCAACGGGCCTGAATCCAGCTACAACAAACCTTCTGGGCACTTGTGACTGTTATGAAATCGAGTGACTCAGCCAAGCTACATCAGAAAGAGAGTATCTTTTATTTGTTCACAGAAACTTAATAAGCTGGGGGGGGGGGAGAGAATTGCAAACCTCACGAGTGTCAGAAAAGACACATCCCTACATATCTTCATCTTACAAAGCTTATCCCTTCTCCCTGACCTAAGGCAGGTGTTGCTATATGGCTGTCTCCCCATACACTTCTGACTGTTCTGCCTCCCTTCTCAGACCCACAGCTCTGTTCTTCAGAGACTCTGAGCCATCTGCCCAGTGATGTGGTTGAAACAAAGGTATCAATGTTTATATACCACCATCACTTCCCAACTTATGTTCCCATTGCCATGGTGAGCAGCAACAGAGCCTGAAAGATAAGGTCAAAACATAGCCTAGATATCTCCCACAAGCCATCTGGAAGAACTGCTTTCTGAGGAATTCTCTGGCACATATTTGCACTTGCTCTGTGACCCAAAGACAACTCAGCACTCTGGACTCCTAACTGAGTTCCAAGGACATCTGAGAACAAAAGCCATCCCTAAAAATCTTGAACCCATATTCCTCTCCTACCAGTTTCTTACAGGTAATCACTATTATCTCTCTAGTCTGTGTCAGCCTCATTCTGTTTCCTTCCACAGTGTAGGAGTCCGGGTCCCTAGCACATACCTGCACTGGCTTGCCAAGCACTCCAGCATTGTAGGAATCAGTTACTGTTTTCCGGCTTTCAGAAACTTTCCAGCCTATGCTTGCACAGATTACAATGATAAGGTACTACAATGTATGTTGCATCTGAATATAGTATTTGTGAAGACAAAGAGAATCTCTCCCCCAGTTACTATACCACTGAAAATCAAATGTCATTCTGCTTGTCTTGGATTACTCATAGATAATGCAATTAGCATCACAGTACAGTTATGTAAACTGTTAATCAAACATCAAGACAGAGGAAAAAATAGGAGATGTCAAATACACTATGGAAAGAGACATGAAGTACAGACTGACAGACTGCACATGCTGAAGTGCTGCAGGAAAGATGGAAATTATTGCGGTAAGCACGTCAATGTAGGCCAACTTAAAAGGGAGGCTGGCCACTTGGTGAAAACCTGGACCAATGCAGGTGTTCAGCTTGAGAGATTGTGTCCTGGAGACACTTATGAGGACACAAAGCATGGAGCACCAGAAAGGCTGGAACAATACTGACATATGACACTCTGTTCTGTCTTAGCAAGAGTTAAATCACTGGGACCAGCTGAAAATTGGATTTTAGTGTTTGCTGATGTACCTGAGTATTAAATAGGATTATTCAAGAGATGGGGACAGAAGGTACAGTATTGACAATGGTGTCAAAATATCACAACGGTGATACCGCAACCCAACTTGGCATCCTAGACTTAAATGAAATATGCACTGAGCAGATTGAAGCTTTTCATTTCTGTGTTATCTCTTGTATCAGCTGAGCCATATCTGGATTAGTCTTAAGACAGCATTTTGGGATCTCTGTGCTACATGAAAAGTAAAAGCAGCTTTGTGTCAGTTTTAGCTTGGGAGACTGGTTAAAATCCAGTGCTGACTGCAGCCTATGTGGAATCAAATGCAGACTCAGGACTTAATTTTGACTTAGGTATCACCATACTAAGACATCAGCAGTTTCTCTGCTGTGAATTGCAACAAACCTTCTCCACTAATAAGTTTCGATGTCTTAGCTGCTTTCTGATCTGAAAAACAATGATGCAGTTTGGAAATTCTTGCTCTCTATCTTAAAACACACTCTTGAGGAGTCTGTGAAAAGTTCATTTTAACCTGGAACACCAGCAAGATGCAATACAATCAAAAAAACCTGATCAAAATTAGGAAAAAGGCAGCGTGCTAAGGAAAACAACTAAAGATTTGGCCAGAAAACAGGCATAACTCAAAGGAATCATAGAACAGTTTGGGTTGGAAGAGATCTTCAAAGGTCATCCAGTTCAACCCTCCTGCAGTGAGCAGGGACATCTTCAGCTAGATAGGTTGTCCAGACCCACATCCAGCCTGGACTTGAATGTCTTCAGGGATGGTGCATCTACCACCTCTCTGGGCAACCTGTCCCAATATTTTACCACCTTCATTGTAAAGAATTTTTTCCTCACATCTAGCCTGAATCCCCCCT